CAACCGGAGCCTTCGGCTAGCCAAAGCCTGACTCGCAAGGCAGCGGGGCGGTGTGCGAAGACCGCAGTCCATTGGGAGCTGGTGTCCAGTTCATCGGATCATACGTCCTTCGGACGGGGTCAGACGTCCAAGGTGCCCAATCGAGCCGGTGACCACTGCCACAACCGAAAAGGTGTGGGTGTGGTTCGTACATCTCCTCATGGTTGGTTTGGGATCAGGGCTTTTGGCCAACTCCTCTAGGTGAACTGCCAGTGGTCCACCAACCCGGCTATAGCCCCGGACCTAGGTGAACTGCCAGTGGTCCACCAACCCGGCTATAGCCCCGGATATCGGCTTTTCGTCCTCTCACTTTGGTGGGAAAACACCGCCGCGAGAAGGCAATGAGTAGGGCTTCCTCAGCAGAGGCTATTTGAGACGGTTGGTCGTACGGGGGCATTTCGAGAGGTGCAAGGGCAGCGTGACCAGCCGCAACCCTAGACACCCACCCCCAACCATACTGAGGCCTTGGGAACCACATAAGACCCCCGATCGGTTAGGTGTGGTATTGAACCGGACGATAGCAAAGCTGCGTACCACGAAATTTGGGTGGCGGTGGCGAGGCTCGAGCATCGGACCATAGGGTCCAAAGCACACCGGTGACATCGACTAAACCACCGCGCCACCACCACTCAGGCATATTGCTCACTACATCATCGGTCAGTTGAGCAGGCCGTTTTTCACTTTGCCCACCTGGATGAGATAGCACAAATCATCTTTGCAAACACCATCGTACGGTGAAGCGAATTTCACTGATCGCTGATAAGCTGCAAGCTTGTTGCGGGTATTGTACAATGGTTTAAGCAATTGTCCGATGCTCGAGCGAGTAATATGCTTGTGTCCTAGTAATAGGGTTACGGGTTGGCAATTCTCAGTCGTGTCGATCGATACTCCCCCCGGGGATGAGACCCAACTATGTAAGAATAGCCGTGCATCGCCTGGTCACGTTTCAGTTCACGCTTCGCGTGATTTGGACACTGTGATATTTACCACATAATGGAATTAAGTTCTCCCGTACCCTCGTGCATTATTATTGTTGCCTTTGTAACAATACCTTTACAGAATGAGAAACAAGCAAACGGTTTCGTTTGTGCATAGCGCCTTACAACGTGGGGACATTTTGAACACAGATCTACTGATCATGCCTGATGATGGCTTGACTAGTGTTGCAAAGCGCTGGGGTCAGACAAACAAGTCAGAAGGGAATCTGAATAAAACCATTCTGGCGGAGCGCAACTCCGACACGACTGCATGCTA